CATGCTCTGTTTCTAGTTCCCAAAGCATCCCTGTAATGAAGATAGTGTGATCTAATTTGCAGATGAAGACACCAAGGCTAGCTGCTGAGACAGCTGGGGGCAGGGATCGGCAGGACACCCTCGTCGGCACGATGGGTAGGAATTTTATATCACACACCTTAAGTTAACAGTTTGAAAATCCTTAGTGGAAACATTTCTCCAAAATGTATTCTCTGCCACTATCCCACACAAAACCTCACCATTTTGGCTGCTTGCCCCTCCCTAGGTTGTTCATTTCCCTCTCAGATGTAGTAACTTCCTTCTCTACTGAAGCCTGGTGCTAGACAACGTTCCTAACCTGAGCAGTCTAAACATTCTTTCCAAAAGAAGAAGAGCCTTCTGGAAAGTCTTGTGTTTGCTTTTAAGAGACTAAAAATGTATGCAGGGTAACATATTCAAGGTGTCAGTAAAAGAAGATCTTGAGTCCTAATTCCCTGCCATTCTGGTGCTGACATGCTCTGAATGGGTCCAAGGTGACCTGAGATGAAGATGCTCAACCCTCAAGTGACCAGTGGTCCTGGAAGCTAGTATTTTCTTTCACCAGCCCTGTATTTACTTTGTGTGCCATGACTTTAAAAGGGCTGGGAAACAGTGCCCTAAGTCATCCCATGAAATGCCTGGGGCTTGATGGTGGTGACAAGTGTGAGAACTTACCTTGAGAGACAACAATAAGACAAATGAAGCAATGGGAATAGGTGAGAGGACTGACCAGGGTCAGAGATGCAATTGATGACCTTGGAAGGATAAAGCACACTGGTACATGCTACCCAACCTTTGAACTCATTAGCAAGGCCCTCTTGGTGGTGGGGGTTCACAGCCACAAATGTGAACTTGTGCTTGTTGAGAGCAAGACTGAGTCAACTCATTGAAGATGCAAAGCAGGTTCTTCTCTCTGAACTTTGTTCCCAGTATAACCATTTAATTATTTGGTGAGTTCTTAAAAATTCTCTGAGAAAAAAAGCTGGCTTTATGAGTACAGTATCTAACACTTATAATTCAGGTTACAGTATTTTTATGAACTGCATGAAACTAATAATGCCTTAAAGAAACTAAATAAAACTGGCATCAGCATTTTTAATAAAAACTCCGGTTTCCGAAGGCTTATGCATTCTGAAGAAATTTGCTTGAGGGGGAAACTTGGCATATGTCTGAGCCCCTGACTGTCCACAACTCATTCATAGGTACATACAAATGAGTCCTTCACATTTGGCATCTGGAATTTTTAGAAATTTTTTTTTTAAATGACCTTAATAGCGGGTAGTTTCTGAGCTTAATGGCAGGGTACACAATTCTCAGAGAATCAGAGAATGCAGGAGTTCCAAAAGTCTCGATTTATAGATTCTAGTATGACAATATTGGGTGTTGAAGGAAAAGGGGAAAAATGAAAGGAAACAGAGGCTAGAAAATATCGGTGACCTCAGAAAGGCACCAGACCTAGATAGTCACCATTTTCCCTAACCTGGATCCCTCCTCTGCCCTATTTCCTGTAACTGCCCCATGCCCTTGTGTTATAGGCTGGGCAAATATATGTGGGCTTGTATATGAGGCCTATTTCCAAATAATTACTAAAAAGGCAAAATGAAAAGAATCTCATTTTGCTTCATGAATCTTCATTTGGGGGTGGTGAATGAAGTGCTCTGCAAGCCATACAATACGTAGGAAGAGGCAAAGCCAAAAAAGCATTGCCCTTAGAGGAGTGCCTATGACCAAGCTGGGGAGGCAAAGTAAATTCAAGAAAAACCCTGGCGTAGAAGTCTAAGGACCCAATCCAGTAGGGCATAGGAAAGAGTTGCCAGCTAGTTGTGGTTCTTAAGAGCCATACAGATGAGGGTGTGTAAGCATCCGGCATAGGGACAGACATCAGCCAGATGCCGGGCATGTTGACAGTAGACTCCAGCCTCAGGGTGAGGGCCCCAAATACTAAACTGGAATTCAGGGGCCAGCACCAATTTCAGAGGAGAAGGTGGGCACCTTGCCTAGGAGCAGGGGTCCATGTTGTGAGCCTTCTGCTCACATGGCTGCCTCAATGGCTATAAACTGAGTGGACGCTACTTAGAGGTTTACTTGTGCTTTTTGGAGGGAATCAGTATAGCTTGGTGGCTAAGAGCATGGTCTTCATAATCTATCAAGCCTATATTTAAATACAGGCTCTTTATTTATAGCATTTGTCTTTGGATAAGTTGCCTAGCCTCCTTGAACCATGAGTCTTCATATCTAAATGGCAATAATAGTTCTGACCTTAGAGTCTGTGAAGATTAAGAAATGATACAAAGAAAGCAATGAACTCCTGATAGCTGTAATTAGCAACCAAACTTTTGATGGTGCATCTTTTTTTTTTCTTTTCTTGAGTCAGGGTCTCACTCTGTCATCCACATTGAAGTGCAGTGGCACAATTATGGATCACTGCAACTTCAACCTCTTAAGCTCAGGCAGTCCTTCTACCTCAGCCTCCCAAGTACCTGAGACTACAAGCGTGTGCCATCACATTTGGCTAATTTATTTATTTATTTATTTATTAGAGATGAGGTCTCACTATGTTCCCTAGGATTGTCTTGAACTTCTGAGCTCCAGCAATCCTCCCACCTTGGCCTCCCAAAGTGCTGGGATTACAGGAATGAGCCACCACACCAAGCCAGATGCATCTTCTTGAAAGGAAAAGCACCCCTAATGTCCTGTTCTGATGAGCACTCCTTGGTCCAGGGGTAGGCAGTCCTGAAGATGCTGGAAATAAATTGTTAGGGCAGGCAACCTGGGGCACACAGGGTCTAACACATCTCAGCTGCTACATCCCACGGATCTTTAATTTTCAGTCCCAGGGACTTGGTCGGTTCTGATGAAGATCCACTTACTCCTGTATCTGAAATATTTCAGACATTCAGAATTGTCCCTGTTACAATAAATAGACATGCTAAATCAGAAGCGTGTTGTATATGTGGGCTAAAATTAAGAAGATACAAACTTCTGAATAGCAGGATTTTTTATTCTTCCTTTTTTTGTTAACTCTTCTGACAGTACCTCCCCATGAAAAAAGCTGATCATTTCTCCAAAAGGCCACTCTATAACAATTAAATCCCTTAATTTAAGAGAAAATGAATAGAAAATATAACGAATAATCCATAAGACTGGTTGCGAGTAAAACTGACCAGGTGGAGGTTCTGAAATGAATCGGGCTAAAACTTAGCCCTTGTGATCCTGGGAAAGAAACTACCTCTCAGACTGGAGCTGTATAATTCAGGGATTCTAGAGTCCATGAATAAACTCTGAAATCTGAGGGTATATGAGATGGCTAAGTGGCACCATACTGAAGAAAGCATTTTTCATCTTCTGAATATCCCTGTGAAGACAGAAATCTCTCTTTTAGTAGACTTTGTCTTCCTAGTGCTTCCAAAACCAAGCACCAAGCCTACTTGAGCCTAAAAAAACCAACTCTGTATCTACCTACCCTCTGTGTTTTTACCTTAGTATTAGGAAATTCCCAGAATTCTCTACTACTCACAGCAAATAGGATTTGAGGAGGAAGGTGGGGAGTGGGCAGATTCTGAAGATTGGATAAATTGCTGAGCATCAAATGAGATTGCGTATGAAAGGTATTTAAGGATAAGCTATTCACCTATCAGATAGGTGAAATAAATATTCTAAGCATTTTATGTATGTCATCATTCATTGTTTCATTTATTTGACTATTTCATAGTGTGATTAGTGTCCTCTATATTCTTGGGATTCAACAGTGAACATACTTTAATCCTCACATCAAACCCTAAAAGGCACCTGAGACCTCAAGGGGTTAAGACTCTTGCACAGGAGTTCAAACAATTAGTTGTTAGCAGAGACCGCACCATAAGCCTCTCTGTTCCCTAAAACACAATATAAACGGTAGCTGTTGAGCTTTTGATACTAAGATTTTGTCATAATGTATTACATTTCCCACCATGCCCAGCACTGAGGGCATCTTATCAGATGCCTATGAGATGAAAGTAGGGAAGTTTCATTCCAGGATTATCAGATAAAACAGAAGACTTTCTGGGAAACAACCAGATCTTGGAAGCTGTCTCATTGACTTGGATAAGCTTCACCCCATTTCAGAAATCAAATATTTGATAATTTTTTAGATTATTGTACTTTTGTCTGTACCTAAATTTTTTTGAAGATGACACATCATTAACAGAACATCTTACCTACATGGTAAAATCAACTTAATGTGTTCTAGAAAATAGTAAGATCCCTGGGGCTAACAAATTCAAAGGGTTTCTGATGAGTTTTGTCATTGTATAAAATGAGAGTGAAAGATAGAAAGTGGCTCGCCGTGTTCTCAGTAAGATTCCAAGTGGCAGTTGTGTCAAATGAAGCCCATATGATAAGTGATGTTACAACGGGTAAGGTATCCTTTGGGATGACCCTTCTAGCGTGTGAATTACTTGTTCCCGCAGTCAAATTGAGAGGCTGGAGATTTAGTCAACTGCTGAATGGGGGATATAATTCATGCAAGAGATACACAATTACCTTTGTCAGGACATCCCTTCAATTTGTTATGTATGCTCATTGCCCATCTTATTTGAGTTAATGAATTTTACCTAATTGGTTGAAATCCCATGATTCCCAGATTGAAACAAGTGTGCTCAAAAATAATTTTGGTCTATATTGACTGTTCTTTTTCTACTATAAATCTAAAGAACTAACCAGGATATATGTATATGTGACAACTGCTGCTTGTAACAAACTAACCTTCTTACCTCATATTACACGAAGGGGATAGTTTCACATTCAGTTACATGTCTGTTTTGTGTACCTCACTGGACATTTACAACATCACTAATATTATTTCCAAATGCTCATCATTTTTCTTTTTCTTAAATCCTCCTTCCTAGGTGTGTCCTTTCCCCTTGATTATACCCAAATATCCGTGATTCTTTTATCTTTTTAAGCGATCCTTCTCTGATCCTTCCTCCATTACTCTATCTCAGAATCCAACTGCCAGATGAGAACGTTGGACAGTGGGATCGGAACCTTCCCACTTCCCGACTCGGGAAACCGCTCGACGGGACGGTACATATGCCAGCCAGACTCCTCAGAGGACACTGAGCCGCTCCTGTCTCTCCAGCCAGCCCTCTCCACAGCTTCTTCCATTAGAGCCCAAACCCTTGAACGTGAAGTGCCTTCCTCTGCAGACAGCCAGCGCCCTGCAGGTAGCACCATTGTTCATTCCACATCTGACCCCATCATGACAGCCAGAGGGATGCGACCTCTTCAAAGCCACCTTCCCAAACCAGCATCCTCAGGTAAAATGCCAGTTGCCTTTCGAATTAGATTTTCTTCCCACCCTTAAGAATGTACTTGCTGACAAAAATGGAAAGCTTTCCCCCAGGAGATGAGGAAGTCAGCGACCTCTGCCTGATGGAAATGTGGATATGTGAAAATCCTGCATGTCCCTCACCAAAAGCAAAACAATGTATATAAGACATTATCTACTCATAGAATTACATTAAGGAGTGTATGCGCACATATAAGAAAACAAACGTTAGCTGGGCTCGGTGGCTCAGCCTGTAATCCCGCGCCTTTGGGAGGCTGAGGTGAGTGGATTGCCTGAGCCTGAGGGTTCGAGACCCGCCTGGGCAGGCGAGACCTCATCTCTACAATAAATCAAAAAATTAGCTGGGCGTGATAGCGCGCACCTGTAATTCTGGCTACTCGGAAGGCTGAGGCGGAAGGATCACTGGAGCCCAGCCGGTCGAGGCTGCGGTGGCCGGGAGGGGCCACTGCACTCCAGTCTGGGCGACAGAGTGAGACTCCAACTCAAAAAAAGAAAAAAGAAAAGAAAACAAACAAACATGTAAGCACTGGTATATGGATGTATGAATTAAGAAAAAAAACACACAACAAAAATTTGTGGGATTTTTATCTTATACAACTTAACTCTGGGTCAAGCACAGTGACTCACATGGTAATCCCAGCACTTGGGAGGCCAAGCGAGAGGATCACTGGAGGCCAGGAGCTCAAGACCAGCCCTGGCAAGGTAGCAAGCCCCAATCTCTTAAGTAAGTAAGTAAATAAATAAATAAACAAATAAATAAATAAATCTAGCTGGATGTGGTGGCTGGTGCCTATATTCCTAGCTACTCAGGAGGCTGAGGTAAGCAGATTGCTTGAACCCAGTGTTCAAGATTGCAGTGAGCTATGATCATGCCGTTGCACTCTTCAACTTAGACAAGAGTGAGACCCTCTCTCTTTAAAAAAAAAAAAAAGACAACTTAACTCTGAATATAGACCAGTTTAGACCCAAGATATAAATTTAGCTAAAATGTTGTTTGCCCTCTAACCAGAAATATATGTTCTGACGTCTTCCTATCCTGTTCAGATATATTTGCATGTGGCACTCTTAAATATGGTTTTTATACCAGCAGTAGATTGTGTATTAACTGCAGCAGAATGGAGTAAACTTCCCCATGGAGAAGTATCATCCTTTGTTGCAGTCCATGGAAACAAGATTTCACGATGAAAGACAGGGCCAGGCTAAGGGGTAAAGTTTTTTCATCGTTCCCTCAAGATTAAAAATATTTATTGCAGCCCAGGGTGACACTAAGTAATTTTTAACGTGTATGGCTTGTGTTGCTTTTATAACATGCATAGGCATATGAACTAGAACTTCAAATTGAACACTTCCATTTATGATTTCGATGATTAGAAAGGAGCTGTGAGTGGAGATTATACTATAGGCTTCTGAGAAATTAGAAAAGGAGACTTTTAATTAAAGAACGTCGAATAAATGTGATTGGGCTATTCCCAGGGCTCCATACAGTAGTACTGGCTGCTACGAATGTTTCCTCACAAACTTTTGCTCATGCCAAGCCAAGGCTACATCTTTAAAGGCTTTAATGCATATTATTTTTGAAATAAGTGCATTGCTAATTAATGACACAGCCTCCAGAGATTCAGGGGCGAAATCTTAGTTATAGATTGTGTGCTCCATGCCTGAATAGTCACATGTGTGACCTCAATTCAGTGGCGGGCTACGGTAGACTCCATGATTAAACACTGTCATTATAACAAATTGAATGGAAACCGCAAGCTTTGAATTGCTTCATAAGAGGGGGATAGGAAGGAGATTGTTCTGATCTTGCTGCTAATATTCACTGCACTGGATTTCTGGGAGTTGTGTCTTAATTATAACGAAGAGGTGTTAAAAAGCAATATATCGTAGAGAGTGTGATGATACAGTCATCGCAGGGAATTTTTGTCATCCATCCTGAAGTTTCCTGTCTACCACGTTATATGTGGTTCAGAGGCAGGACAGCTTTCCAATGCTTCCCTTCTCTTATTCATGTGAAAAATTAGGGAATGGGGAGCTAGCTGGAATAAAAGGAAAATGAGATTATACATGCTTTAGAACAGTCACTTCCTGTGTAATGTGTACATTTGAATTGGTTTTTTTCTTATCCCTATACCAAAAATGGAAGTAACTGCATAAACCTCACAGTGCTCATGAAAATACAGCCACTTAGCATCTCCTCACTAGCAAAAATGCTGTGGAGAGGCTGTCATAGCATGTCCTGTTGATAGTCACTGAGGCTGGAGCATAATAACAGCAATTCTTCTTTCGGGCATGATGAAGGATTGCACTCTGCAGGATTATGGGTAATGGGGAAGCTTTCTTTGATCATTCTCTGCTAATTCTACCCTTGTTACTCAAAGTGTGGTCTGTGGGCCAGCCTCATCTACATCATGGGAGCTTGTCAGAATGGTAGAATCTCAGAGCCCACCCCACACTTACCGAATCAGCATCTGCAAATTAACAAAAGCTTAGTTGATCCAAATGCCGATGAAAGCTTCTATAGCACTGCCCACCCACCTCCTCACCCTCCCCTCCCACCCCCCAAGATCTTTAAGGGCCTCAAAGCAAAGTTTCTCAGACCACATTATTCAAAATGACCTTAATAAGTATTCTAGGCAAACAGAGGTTCCTTGCTTTAAGTACGCTCAGGAAAAGCCTCAGATTCAAATCTTCTGTTTGGAAGTTATGACAATACGTGAAGGCTCTGGGAAGTCCTCAAAAAAAGAAACTTGTTTGTTATTAGATGAATGATATTTGAGGAATAACTTCAGTGTTTCCCAAATGATGTGCCCACTGCACCCTTTTAAACCTGAAAAATCTTTCAACATTTATGGAAAAGGGTCCAAGAGTAGCTTACTTTAGGGCCTGGAAGGTGGACTTCCTCTAAGATATATGTATATAATTATGCAAATGTTTGGGGCCAGCATAGACTAGAAGGGGGCAGAATGGCAAGAAGCCCAGCTTTCACTGTAGTTAGGGCCTTTTTATTATTTCTGGATGTCTCCCTCACCTCCTTCCCTAAACTCGTAAAAGGTTGATGAAAGCTGATTTGTGATTCCACATACATTTCCTCATTTAGGAAAAATCAGTTCCCCAAAGCAGAATGAAGCAGAGCCAAGGCCTCAGACTTGCTCGTCATTCAAATATGCTGAAGACCCCATGGCAAGCGAGCCGCTTCCAGACTGGGGGGGTGAGGATGCCGCTGCAGAGACCCAGGTGAGGGGAGGCCGATGGAAGGGTGCCATCCACCTGCTGGTCCTGATGTGAAAAAGCAAACTCCTTAGATACCTCTGTGATAGATTTCATTTCAAATGAAATTTGCTGTTGGTTGATTGACTCCAAACCAAAGTCTAAGGCTCGCCCTCTCCCTGAATTGTTAATCATAAGTTCTTGCGACACCTTTATTCCGAGAGTTCGAAGTGCTTCTGATCTGCACCCAGACTGTTGGGGTATAGAGGTTCTGCCCTGATTAGGCATTGTGAAGCAAGCATTCACTCTCCCAAGCCATCAGGCACCAGCTGTTTTTTTCTATTTTGTCATTACCTCAGCAGCTACTTTAGTCTTTACCTGGCTTTCATAAAACAAGGCGAGCAGGTATAATTCTATAGCTTTTAGGGGTGAAGATATGAGACTTGGTGTGGACAAACGACTTGCTCAAGATCGGTAAGACCTGAGTTTCATTAGTCCTTATCATTTTTGCTGTGAGCTCTTCATCCACCTTGCAATGGCTTGCACAGGCCTCCTGCCGTGGATCTAGGGAGGAGCTGGTGACTCAGGGACTCTTCACTCATTCCTTGGGGGTTACTTGTTATTCCCTCCTGCTTATCTCTTCAGGATGGTCACTTTTATCACCATCAGCCTATTTACTACTTCTCAACTTGCGCTGGGGCCGTCCCAATGCAGGGTCTGTGGTGGTGTTGGCCGTAAGAAGGGTGAGGAAGCCGGTGGCTCAGCCTGTAATCCCGCGCCTTGGAGGCTGAGGTGAGTGGATTGCCTGAGCCCGTGGGTTCGAGACCCGCCTGGGCAGGCGAGACCTCATCTCTACAATAAATCAAAAAATCAGCAGGGTGTGGTAACGCGCGCCTGTAGTTCCAGCTCCTTGGAAGGCTGAGGCAGAAGGATCGCCGGAGCCCAAAAGGTCGAGGCTGCGGTGGCCGAGAGTGGCCACTGCACTCCAGTCTGGGTGACTGAGTGAGACTCCAACTCAAAAAAAAAGAAGGGTGAGGAAGAACGTATGGGCATTTCCCATGGCTTCCTGGCCCTTCCTTGATACTTCCCACTTGTGCTGACGTTGGCTTTCCCAATTCCAGCATCAAGAGCCCTCGTGGCTATTTTGACTAATGTTTCTGCCCAACTGTGACAAGGAAAGACGCAGGTTGACCCACTTCTGGGGTTCCCCACACCCAGGGTGGCCAAGCCTTGTCTCAGCCTTGAACACCTCAGTATGGAAATGAGGCCATGTACAAGTAGGGGGAATAGATCCTCTGGGCCCACAGCCTCAATTTACAGTGGAGAACACTACTTCAGAGACATGCTGGGCTGTGTTCAGGGACTGAGGGAAAGTTACCGTGGAACTGAAACTGGAACTGGGTCCTCTGATGTCCATGGCCAGCACTCAGGAGGGCTGCCAGGATATAGGTCTGAGACGCAAAAGAACACACCACCATCTTCTATCATGCCTTAAGTTAAACATAGATCTGTTGGGCCTGTTCCATGTCAGTGATTCCCAAACTTGAGTAGGCATCAGAGTCACTTGCCGGGCTACACATCTTGCTGGCCCCACATACCTCCAGTGTCTGATTTGGTATCCATGGAGTGTGGTCTTGATATTTCTAACAAACTCCCAGGTGATGCTTATGCCACTGGTCTAAGGAACACATTTTGAAAAGCACTGCTACCACCGTTCTAAGGTCCTCTGTGGCTGCCTTGGGGAGAGGAAAATTGAGAAAATAAAAAGACACCCAGAGTTGGAGAGGGGAAAATCAGTTCAGTGGCAAGGGGGTTTGAGTAATTCCAAGAAAGTTTTTTTCAGAAAGTTAGAAAAGTTACTCTGTGCTGACCCAGATTGGGACCTGTCTCCTCTATGTGGAATGGCTGGGCACTCTTCACACAATATATACATTTGCCAATAGACACACCTCTCTGGGGTCCCCTCATCATCATCCTGCACCAGCTGTTTCCCCTGGAAATTCTGTCCTGACTTGTAAGAGTCACCACACTGGCTTGGAATTTAGAACCCTGCTTCACTGATTGCCAGGTAGGGGAAGTTTGAAGCAAGGATTAGCTTTATATTTTCAGTATCCAGCACAGTGCCTGGTTCAATTACTGCTTGTTAATAATGAAGGTATGCAAGAATGGATCTCATCATAGCCAGACAGTGTTACTGGGGTCCTATTGGAACCCTGGACACAGGTCTCCCTGGAATCAGTCAGTAGACTTGTCCTCCTTCACAGACCTCATCCTTGCTAATCTAATGGTATCTATAGAGTTCTCTACTCCTAGAACCTAACACACATATTGGTGCAGATCAGGTACTTAGAAAACACCTGTTGACTGGGTGTGTAAATAGGTAAATGAAAGATGGAATGAGTGACTGTTTGAATTTACAACGCCAGCCAAGGAGTTATAAATGTGTTTATATATTATTCCCAGCCAAATGATACCCTCCCCAGCCCAACTTCAGAGACCCATCCCAAATATCTGTATTTGAACTATTTGGAATAGTGGAGAATAATAAGCTCTAACAGGGCAGTCTGCAAACAGAAAAGAGAGTCCTGGACACCCTCAATTCAACGCAAAGGAATTGCAGCCCTAGACCCAGTATTCTACTGTGTGAACAGAGGGAAAAGCTGTTCATATGGTATCAACACCTCATCAATTCCTGAGCACAGCATTATTGCCACGCCAGTGACATCCTTGGTGAGTCAAGCTGTGTGTGCACATGAGCAAGTGGGGAAACTGGGTCCCTTGGCCCAGGAACTGTCAGCAGGTAGAGGATTATATAGGGTCAGCAATTGCAATTGCTTACTTTCCTAAAGGCTACTGTCCTTTAGGGGGCTGGAAGAAAATGATAAATTAGGCAAATATTTATACTTTTGTTCCCAAGGTTGATTGTTTTATTACCCTCTGATACTTGAAAGCCAATGATGAGATCAGTTAAATAAATAAGCCATTAGGCTTGGAACAGCAGCTCATAATAGGCACTTGAGAAAAACAAGACCCTATAAAGAGGTGTACAAAATGCAGAGTAGGTAACATGGGGACCTTCCTGAGCCTGGGACAATGGTCGAGTGCTGTGGATGATTTCATTATTGCAGGCCTGTTTCTGCAGTCCTGGTAATTGAGCAGGCCACATCCGCGCCACAGGAGGCAGAGAAACCAGCAAACCAGAGTTGTTCTTGGGGGGTGGGGGCTGGAATTCTGGGCACATAAAGACAGCCAAATGTGAACTGTGTCACATCCTCACAGGATGTTCTGTCCCAGTTCTATTTGTGTGAATAATCTTATCAGTCTCCTGTTATTGATTTAGGACAAGGTACCCAGGATGTGTACATACTCTGCCAGCGGTGGTAGTGATAGTAACTGTGACTATGGAGATAATCGTTTTGGAGCTAGAAGGGGACAGTTAGTGAGAGCACTGAACAGCGCCACCCCAGGTAGCTCCCGGCAAGCACTCTGGATCCACTAGTCTCCTCTCTGGGAAGCCACCAATTACGCTTTTCACTGCACACTCCCTGACTTTGTTTATGTATTTGTTGCATGAGTCTCCCCTGAGATCTAATTTTCTGGTGCATACAGAAGACTGTCCATGCACATCAATTTGTTTTCTGGTATAATCTTCATGACATTGCCAAGTGGTCTGTGAGGATTTTATTTCCAAATCTGGCATCTCTAAAACAGCCTCCAATTGAGTTATCTCAATAATGAGGAAATGACTATAAAGATAACTTTGTTCTTTTTTTTTTTTTTTTGAGTTGAAGTCTCACTCTGTTGCCCAGACTGGAATGCAGTGGCACGCTCCCGGCCACTGCAGCCTCGACCTGCTGGGCTCCGGCGATCCTTCTGCCTCAGCTTTCCAAGGAGCCGGAACTACAGGCGCGCGCTACCACGCCCAGCTGATTTTTGATTTATTGTAGAGATGAGGTCTCGCTAAGTTGCCTAGGCGGGTCTCGAACCCACGGGCTCAGGCAACCCACTCACCTCAGCCTCCCAAAGCGTGGGATTACAGGCTGAGCCACCAAGCCAGGCTAACTTTGTTCTTAATTACATACTCTGGCAAGTTACATCATCCAGTGAGCTATGGATGGAGTTTTCCAGGTTCCTTGCTAACAGCATGCTCTGTAGCCCTAGACTGTTAGCTGTGCCATCATCAACAGGTCTGTTTGTGAGGTTGAATCAGAGTTGGCAGTAGAAAAATCATCATCCCTAAGCATTTAGAAACTTGTCTGCTCAGATGACACTGTCTTATAGATACGAGAGGACAGATGAACCCCTAACACAAAATATGATCTGAGCTCTGCTTTTCTTCTAATCCATGCTGGGGTGTCAGAAGTATTTTAATGATGCAATGAAGAGTTATTCTTTTTCTACTAATCAGCTTTTTCTCAAATACAAACTTAGAAGTGATATGATGGTCAAGGACAGTGGGAGAATAGCTTGAGCCTAGAAGTTCAAGACCAGCCTGGGCAACACAGCAATACCTGGTCTCTACAAAAAATTAAAACATTAGCTGGGCATGGTGGCACGTGCCAATAGTACCAGCTAGTTGGGGGACTGTGGTAGAAGGATCACCTGAGCCCAGGAAGTTGAGGCTATGGGGGAAAAAAAAAAGAGAAATTACACGATGAAACTGATTTTCTTTAAAAACAACAACAACAGCAACAACAAAGAAAGCCATTATGTTGCTTTAGGGAAAAAACGTACTCTAGCAACCATATGTGTTTTTGATTTTCAGAGACTCTTGGAATTTGTAACAGCAGGAGTGGTGGGGAGTAAGACTAGCATGTAAAAAGAACCCATTAATCTGAATCCAATACTTTGTTTTTTGCTTCTTACAAGTCATCAGAGAGGCACAATCGATGGTTGAATCATGCAACGTCTTACCAAGAAGAAAGTGGTGAATACCCCCAATATTTTAGTTGGTTAATTGGTTGTTTTCTCAGTTAGCTCTTTGTGGTTCATCAGTTCCCTCTGCTTGTGACAGCTGAGGGCAAAGGGGAGTTCATGGTCATCGAACTCGCCCAGTAACAACACCTAGGTGCACACCAGTTCCTAGTCTACGTCCTTCTCTTGAACTCATCTTGGGTCCATGGTGAGTCACCTCACCTTACCAACCCTTTGCCGCTCATCCAGAAGAGATTTCCAGGGCCCGTTCCAGCTCTCAAACTCTCTTCGTTTATTATTGAACAAATGTTTGCTGAAAGTTTCCTCTGGGCCAATTTTCCAGTGAATAGGCAAAGATCCCTGCCAGACAGTTAACAATAGATATCACACACAAGAAAATGTATGTGGTTTGTAAGTGCTGTGGAAAAGACAGAGTAGAGCAGAGTTAGGGAGAGCGGGAGTGCTGGGGGTGGGGGAGAGATTACAGTTAAAGAGGAGCAGTCAGGCGAAGCCTTCCTGAGAAGGCAACTTTTCGGTTTACATTTCAGCATAGCCTTGTGTAAGACTTTGGAGCAAAGACATGAAGCAGGCCAGGGAGCAAGCCAGGGGGATAACTGGGAAGAGGGAAGGACCAGTGTAGAAGACTCGGTGCAGAGAGGGCATGGAGTTCAGGAGCAGCAGGAGACCAGCTGCCAGCAGAGAGAGCCAGTGGGAAGACGGACAGGATGAGATCCGCTGAGGAGAAGGCATCCCTGGGGCCTTGTTTGTCCTTCTCAGGGCTGAATCCTATTGGAAGAGACATGCACAGGGGCTTTGGAGAACTTTGAGCCCAGGACTGACATGACTTGTGATGCTTTAAAAGGATTCTCTGGCTGCTATGTTGTGAAGAACAAAGAAGCGAGATCAGCTAAGAGGCTGTGACGGGCATCCAGGCAAGAGGTGTTATGGCTTGGACCAGGGTGGTCACAGTGAATGGAGTGAGCAACACAATCTAATAGACCTCCCACAACAATGAGAGTGCTCTGTGTCTGTACCACCCAATGCCATGGCCACTGGTCACATGTGGATATCAAGCACTTGAAATGCAGCCAGTGCAAGTAAATAACTAAATTTTAAATTTGGTCTTTGCTCCAGTTTCCCTAAGAGTTCTCACCTGGGCTATTCCTTTTTTTTCTTCTTTTCAAAATTTTAAATTTTTAATTAATTCTAATGTAAATAGAAATAGCCGTGTGTGGCTCATTGTATAATGATCTGATTCCGGATCTAATTTAAAATACAATATGATTCACTGGTAGACCAGAGCAAAAGTGGGGTCAAGGATGCCTCAAAGGTTTGGGTCCGAGAGGGACTGGAGTTGCTGCCAACTGAAATGGAGAGTTCCATGTGAACATTCTAGGTTTGGGGGCCCATTAAGCCTGCAAGTTGGAAGTAGTGGTGTGTAGGCGAGTGACTGGGTGAGTCTGGAATTCACACAAATTTGAATGTCATCAGTATGCCAATGACATTTAAGCCAAGGTGTCTAAATGTGATCAGGAAGGGAGGGAGTATAAATCCGGAGAGGACTGTGTCTTTCCACCTTCTCTTAGTTGGGAAGAGGAAGACCCAGCAAAGGAGATTGAGCAGGAACAAACAGTGAGGGAGAAGAAGGGCTGGGAGCATGGTGTCTTAGAAGCCAAGTGAAGAAGATATCAAGGAGGAAGCCCATGACTCTGTCTGTTGATTGTTACTGAAAAGAGGCATACAATCTTTATTTCAATCCTGCTCTTGCTTCTGGCAGTAGGGTTCCGATGTGGAAGACTCAGGAAGTGGGATGGAGGAGGAAGCATGGTCTAAAGCAAAGGTGTCCAACCTTTTGGCTACCCTGGGCCATATCAAGTAGCCTTTTGGCTTCCCTGGGTTACATCAAGTAAAAAGGAATTGTCTTGGGCCGCAAAAAAAAAAAAACTATATGATATAGTTATTGCATATACATAATAAGATTTCTTTTTTAATATTTTTATTATAAAGTTTAGAAAAGTGAGAGCATTGTAAAACTAGTGGGAAATTTGACCTTGTTTTGGTAAAACCAGACTATCAGTGTCTGGTTTGATGGAAGTGGTCACAATTCTTAGTGAATTATTAAGGTGCTCGTCAGAAATGTTTGTTTGAATTTTGCTCTTTCATGTGCTACACAATTGAAAACAGCAGCTCACAAATGTATATGCTGCCAAAAAGTGGTGTCATGAATAAGGCATGATTGTGAACTTCAGAAATGGAACTATGCATGGAGTCACAAAGAAAATAAACACTAAAAAACACATGATGTTAAAAGATTTTGTGGGGCCACATTGCTAACTGTCCTGGGCTACATACGACCCATGAGCCACAGGTTGGACATGCCTGGTCAAAAGGCAGTTTGAAAACATCCTGAGAAAGAGACAAGATTATGATAAATTCTCTGACCCCACAAGAGAAAGTGCCCAGGTATGAGAGCGCTTACTTCAAGGTTTACATTTCAGTGTAGGCTTGCTTAAGACAGTTATGCAGGTCAACCAGCAATTATTACTGGGTTCTGGCTCTGGTTCCAGGTGAATGGTAAACTTGCTCCTTGAACTTTTGTTTTTCTATACATCTGTGAAATGCAGTGAGTCCCAGCCTGAATTTTTTTCCTAAATACTCATTTTGCTTGTCCTATTCCCTCCAACCAGAGCAAGACCCTGTTTGAAAAGGAGCAGGTTTATTTCATTCTATTGCTTTTGGCTTCTGGGCAAGTGTTGCTTCTTGGGAGAAGGTGCTGAGGTTCTGGCAGCAAGATGATCCTTCCCTCCACCAAGGCGCCTGCACTCTGCCTTTAAAAGTACACTTGTTGCCAGAGATCTGTCCTCGGCACACCCTGACGAGCCAGCCACTGGTCAGCCCCAGCTGATGACGGTGCTGCCGGGAAGGGAAAATGTTGTATGCAGACAGCTGGCATGGCTGTGGGTCTGTGCTGGCTTCCAACAAATCCTGGGAAGGGGCATTTAGGGTAGACACAGCACCATTAGCTTTCTAAATATTGGCAAGGGTGGTATACAACGAAAATAGAAACGAGATAAACAATAACAGGAAGATGTGCCTTGGGTGTCCGTGGAGATTTTATCCCCACTTCCCCCAGCTAATAGTGTTGCCTTGGCTTCATCACATGTGCCAGAGAAAGGAGGTTGGCCATCTGCCCCTTGATTTCCTCTTTAAATAACAAGGTTTTGTAACGGAGGTCCCCAAACTGCAGGATGGAATTTGGATATTTGCCAAGATAGTTGCTCTTTCTCAAATATGCCCTTTCTCCCAAGTTCCCTTGAAATTTCTCTCAGGCAGAGGAGGACATTTGATAGTGACATACAGTCAGAGGCTGCTTCCCTCATCTTCCCCCACCACTTCCCATCGGTCCCTATTCATCCCCTGGCTGCTCACCCTGAAGGTTACTGCATGGCTGGGGGCCCTCCATCTAAAACAGAGTGGCTGGTGGCCCCACATTCCTTGGTGTTACATGCCCAACATTGCTTCTTTGCATCACACCGAGTGTGGCCAAAGAGAC